CCCCCGTCAGAGGATGACAGTGGGCAGCCCTGAGTCACACTGAAGGCTGCCCCCCCCCCCGAAAACTCTGGAGCTTCTTGAGGGGGGCAGGAAGGAGGAGGGAGGGGCCGCCACAGCCCAGGAAAGCAGCCATGAGCACATGGTCCTGAGAAAACAAGGGATAATCCCTGAATGGGCACGCTGAATGCAAACTGGAAGATCTGGACAGCTTCTCTTTCCTTACCATCTTAAGGGATAAGTACAGTGCTGGGAAAGAGGACGTGTGTGTGTGTGTGTGTTCCCATTTCTTTTACCCTTGCCCAGTCCGTTTTGTTTGTCTATGCAGTATGTGTTTTTAAACTTCTTTTCATTTCAAACATGGTCATTCTGACAGCTGTAAACCACATTAAGTCTAGTTTAAAAAGGTAAAGGTAAAGGTTCCCTTGCTCGAAAGCCAGTCGAGTCCGACTCTAGGGTTGCGGTTCTCATCTCCGTTTCAAAGCCGAAGAGCCAGCGCTGTCCGAAGACGTTTCCGTGGTCATGTGGCCGGCATGACTAAACACCAAGGCGCACGGAACGCTGTTACCTTCCCACCTGAATGCAAACTGGAAGATCTGGACAGCTTCTCTTTCCTTACCATCTTAAGGGATAAGTACAGTGCTGGGAAAGAGGACGTGTGTGTGTGTGTGTGTTCCCATTTCTTTTACCCTTGCCCAGTCCGTTTTGTTTGTCTATGCAGTATGTGTTTTTAAACTTCTTTTCATTTTAAACATGGTCATTCTGACTGCTGTAAACCACATGAAGTCTAGTTTAGTCCACACTTATCAGGAGCACGGCAAACCCTACTTGCCTAGAGAGCTCACCTAAGAGAGACGGGGTCCCCTCTGTAGCAATTTGGAAGGAAGGGGACAGTGAGAATTGGTGCTCTGGTGTCTTAAGACCGTGTGGGTTCAGACGTTTCTCGGACTTCCGGTTAAGATGGCGTCAGAATAACAACTCGTTAGAGAGGCTCTCATTTATTTTATTTTAACAGCTGCTCCCTGATATCTAGTTTGCTCAGAAGACAGAAACAAGTCTTAAATATTATAAAAGTGGAGTGATCTAATAGCCCTGAGGAGTTTCCGTTCTTGCTTAATTAGCACAGAAACATCCAATATATGCAGTGTGGTGTTTCTGTGGGGGGGAAATCCTGTGAAAAATCTATAAGAACCAGAGGACAGCTTCAGTTTCCGTTCTTGCTTAATTAGCACGGAAACATCCAATATATGCAGTGTGGTGTTTTTGTGTGGGGGGGGAAATCCTGTGAAAAATCTATAAGAATCAGAGAACAGCTTAAACCAGGGATGTCAAACATGCGGCCTGGGGGCCGGATCAGGCCCCCAGAGGGCTTCTATCAGGCCCACAGTGGAACTGTCTTTTGCTGCTTCTTCCAGTTCTGCTGCTGCTGCATCATTGTAGGTTTGCAGCTTGCAGATACACACCTGAACAGCATACTCAGGATTGCAACAGCACAGACATTTTGATGCAATAATTCAGAGCAAGAGGTGTCAGTTATCAGGCACTGTTAAATAAACAAAATATTGCAAGAGTGTGAATGTTTTAAGCATGTTTTTATTTTAAGTAAAAATAATCTTTGTGTGTGTTTTTTATAAAGTTTATCTCCACTACCTGGCATTACATTTTATGACACACATGGCCCGGCCCAACAAGGTCTCATTTATGTCAGATCCGGCCCTCATAACAAATGAGTTCGACACCCCTGGCTTAAACCATCGTAAATCATCAAAGAAGATAAAGAAAAGGGACTTGGATGCCTCAGTGAAACAGCCCACAGACCTGAACACGGGGAAGAAAAATGAGAATAAAAGGAGAAACTCAGACATTTGTTCTCCACCAAAACCAGCCAAACAACTGCGTATAGACAATGAAAGAACCAGTAAATGCTCTTTCCAGTTTTCTCTCTCCTAACAAATACAAGGCTCTGCACCCAGACAGTAAGCGAACCACCCAATTATCATCTTCTTAAAGCTGACAAACTTATAAGGGAGACTAGATTAGCAGACTCACAACCACCTTGTTCATCTTCCCCAGAGATGAAAGATAATCACTTTGAAAAAGCCTACACCAGAATGCGGACAAAAGACTGCATATCAGCTTAAGCAAGATCAAGGTCCCAGATAAAACAGAACAGCTACAAGCTCTCCGAGAACATCTCTCTTGGGGGAACAAACATTCCTTCTACATTGGAGAAACGGAAGAACTCACCGCAGCTCCTTCACACTTCAGTCGAGCCTCCTAATTTGTTTCTCCCTGTGGGTCGACTGTCCAACTATAAGCCAAAGACTAGAAGGAGAGAACAGCGCTCTGAATGCAGCCTGGCCACTCCGATTCCCAGCCCTCACCGCCCTGCAAGCACAAGGCCCGCAGCCAAGTCTTAAGGAAGGGGAAAGGATATGTCGCTCATTCCTAAAACAGATTCTTTCTAAGGAGACCCCAGAGACAAAACAGGAATAAGGTTGTTGGGGCTTGTGCAACCCAAAGAATCTGGTTCCTTTCGGGCCTCAGGGCTTTACCTTGAGCGACAGCACAGTGCTAGCCAAGTTGGTCCGCTGGATCTCGGGGACATTGGTGGTCAGCATCTCATCACGGTAGGCACGCTCTGTGTAGAGTCGGTAGCACTTCCCTGGGCCTGTCCTTCCAGCTCTTCCCGCTCGCTGCTTGGCCTGCGCCTGTGAGAATGGCAGATAAGGAGCAAAAGGGAGACATTAGCGTCTTCCGCTGCCTCCACACCATGTCCGATTAAGCGTCAAGATACAGCACGGGAGACACTGCAGCAGACTCCGGCAATCCCAGGCAGAGAGCGGCAAATGGGTCGAGGGCGGGGCCTGGCAACGGAGGCACAAGGCCCCGGGCGGCACAGAAGGCGTGTCGAGCCTACGAGGGCCACCCAGAAGAGGCTCTCTGGTGCCAGCGGACGAATTTCATGGCCACACTGCCCAAGACCAGTGTGCTAGGGACCTCAAGTTTCACCTTACTCAAGAAAGGCATGTTTCTGATCTTTAAGTGAAGGCAGATTTGAAAATGTGTGGACACCGCATCATGAAACAGTGGGGAAGGGCCGCTGAACAGGAGGGTAAAACACACTTGATTTGGTTTAAATACTGTTGTGGTGAAATGCCTTCCAAGCCCAGGAGTTTAGTACCAAAAGGTAATTGTTGGATCTGCACCCTGTGCAGGCACACAGGTGATACGGTGCTCCTTGCTGGTCAGCAGGAGGAAAGATGTGCAATGAGTTGGCGTGAACCACCTTCCCTGGAGAAGAGCCATTCTGTGCTTTGAGGTACTGGCCAGGGCCCGGGCAGCTCACCCCCGTCAGAGGATGACAGTGGGCAGCCCTGAGTCACACTGAAGGCTGCCCCCCCCCCCGAAAACTCTGGAGCTTCTTGAGGGGGGCAGGAAGGAGGAGGGAGGGGCCGCCACAGCCCAGGAAAGCAGCCATGAGCACATGGTCCTGAGAAAACAAGGGATAATCCCTGAATGGGCACGCTGAATGCAAACTGGAAGATCTGGACAGCTTCTCTTTCCTTACCATCTTAAGGGATAAGTACAGTGCTGGGAAAGAGGACGTGTGTGTGTGTGTGTGTTCCCATTTCTTTTACCCTTGCCCAGTCCGTTTTGTTTGTCTATGCAGTATGTGTTTTTAAACTTCTTTTCATTTCAAACATGGTCATTCTGACAGCTGTAAACCACATTGAGTCTAGTTTAAAAAGGTAAAGGTAAAGGTTCCCTTG